ATATATGGATCGATATTCCATTATAATTAGCCAATCATGTTAAGACTGTCTATTGATTTGTTCATTTTGAATATTCGCTCACACACTTGTTCGGACATTCATATTTTGCTCTCACGCACTTGTGTGACATTGATTCTCCGGGTGTTTTGGAAAATAGAAGTATCATCGCAAATTTAGTGGTCTTCTGATTTCCGTCCTTCTTGCGTCAGGACTATTAAATTCTCGACCAGTAAATAACAGAAGTGTCGGGGAAAAACGCGAAACGTTCTACTCCCACCAAATCAGAAAATAGCACAATTGCACGTAAATCGGGGATACCAAAATCCACACCGGTTAAAATTGCAATTCTTGCCATAACCGCTCCAGATACAGAGGCTGAAGCACCACGGGTATCTGTCGCTGAAAGAAGACGCTTATTGTCTGCTAGTATGTTAAGTACTAGTTTTCCCCGTCGCCAAATTGTTATGTACTCGTCGCTAAATTATTGTTATGGACTGGTCGAGAATTTAATAGTCCTGACGCAAGAAGGCGGAAATCAGAAGACCACTAGGTTTGCGATGATACTTCTATTTTCCAAACACAAGGAGAAGCAATAAGTGGTATCACACCAAAAATAAGCAAGTGGTGTAAGTGTAAGTCACACAAATTGTGAGAGCGAAATATATATATGAATGTTCAGACAAAGGTGTGAACAATCATTGGACAGTCTTAACATGAATGGCTAATTATAATGAAGTATGGGTCCATATATACATATCGAAATATAGCAGACATGTCAACACCCACCATATATGGATATATGTCACCAAGCAACGGACTGTCAACAAACACTCATATTATATATAATATAAGGGGAATATACATTGTTAAAGGAGACAAGTTCATACAAGTGAAATGGTCACAGACTAAGAGAGCAAACAGAAAGAGAGACCAACATACACACACACATAAATATATATGTGGATACGTATCATAATAATAGTGGCCACGGCACTGAGACACACAACAATATCCAGTCGCACCAGACGAAACAATACGGTCTTAAATGGGATGACAAATGTGCGTGGACAGAGCCTAAATCCACGGTTAGTAGATCAAACTGTGTAATTTTCCTTAATGTACCAGACTGTAGTAGTAGTCCGCTGGAAAATAGGGCCCTGTTTGATCAGGAACAGTGGTCCATCTTGTGTAGCACACTGGGTCTGAACATCCAACCAGCAAAACTATGCAGATTGTATAGGGGCACTGCTGCACCTCAAGGCAAACCATCCCCACTGAGGGTAACTGTGACATTTCAGGGAAACCTCGCCAATAAGCTTCTCGTGAACCCCAAAAGCCTATACAGGTTTATGTCTGAAAGAAAACCGACCAACCAGGGAGCATGCAATCTAGTGGGTTTTGATGGGAAATCTCTTACTAGTCTTGAAATGGCAGAGATATTCAGCCAACTTCATTCCGGCAAGTCACAGAGTGTAAATTACATCCTTGGTGGTCAGAACTTGAGTTGTGTTCCATTAGAGCGCGATCTAGGTCTTATTCTAACAGAAAAGCTAGACACCAGTGGAAATTACACGAGGGACGTCGCCAAAGTCTACGCAACTTTACGCTTTATGAATAGGCAGCTGGGAGCTCTTACTCCCGAACTGTTCTTAAGGTTATATAGGACATATGTGAGGCCACACCTTGAGGTGCATAATATCATTGCTCCTCCGCTACTCAAAAGGGATGTTAACATTCTAGAAAGTGTCCAGAGACGAGCGACGAAATGGGTAATCGGCCTCCGCAACAAATCACACGAGGAAAGATTGAAGAAATTAAGTCTTTTCACACTTAGTTACCGTAGGCAAGATCTCAAGTGACCAGGCCCACCCAAATAAAAGCATCCTGCCATTAAGTGATTATAGGCTTCCATGAAGTAACCCTCTAAGGATAGCACACCAGAGACCAAAGACTCGAGTGCGTTCACATTTCCTTTCGCTTCGAGTTTGCCGTCTCTGGAACGCTTTACCGGCGGCCGTGACTACAGCCCCATCTGTGGAGATTTTTAAGCGGAAGCTGGACAATCATGCAGAAATGCAAGGTTTGTTTCTCAATGGCTTATCCTCATAAAACTTAAAACCAAACTGTTAATAGATAAGCATGCAAACCAAATTCCCACGACCTGTTCTGCCTTCTCTCACTGTACCGACTACTCTATCTTTTCCCTAGGTCACCTTTATTATTTCACTTATCTCAACCTATATTATCTACACTACAACCTATCATTATTATTACTATTCTGCTTTTATGACTACACCGAATGACCAACGGGAGTTAGGTCAAACTCCATTCACAGTAGCAACACAGTCCTAACATACTGCATACTACAAACCGCATTTTGACCAATCCCCTCACCACTCCTCTTGGAGTCTACCAGAGCTAAAGCAGTCGAGTGGCGGAACTTACTACGCAGAAGTTCACCGAAGATCTGGGACCGCTACCTTACAATCAAGAAAAGAGCTCAAAGAAATCATTGGTTTATACTAGCTCGTAATCAGGGTATTGGATATTGAACCCGGGAGAAGAAAATAGTGGGCTTTCAAAGGGTGCGTTGCTCTTATTTTTTTGTATGTAAATTGATGTTGCGTATACTTTATGGAGGTCGGAAAAATAATTAGTGGTGACAAACACGTTTAAACACTTGTTGTAAATTTTTGCCTTCAGCGCTAGTTATTTACTTTTACAACCATGCAGAACTGTGGCAAAAATTAAAAATGTTATAGGCAACTACTTAGCAAGCACTTTCTTTGGGCACATTTCAGAACGTGGGACAATGATCTGCAGTCTACTCTAAAGATGTTACAGTCCTGTGGAGTCAATTCAGTAAATATATTCTGAATACTGTACTGTACGATTGGGACGCGTCGAACGCGTTCGTGATATTATTGATATAAGTATAAAACTTGGGCACTGTGGTAGAGTATAACTCCATTATGGATAAGATTTTATTTTGATAAATCACACAGTATTGTACGGTTATATTAACTGATGGCGTTTCGAGTACAAACTATTGCCACTCAAAACAAGATTTTGAGCGAACAATTGTTTTCGATAACTTCTTCATCAGGCTCTACAGTTATAAATCCATGAATAATAATAATATATTGCCACTCATAATCATATCAAGTTATATATATATATGTACATAGCCCAAGTATACTTAAAATTTGAGATATAAGTACATCTGTGGCATATAGGTCGGGGTCATAAAGTGGTGACTTCTTACATATAAAGAAATTCAGGCACCGTAACAAACTTGAAACTGAAGTTTTGAAGCTCGTCTTATACTATAGTCTTGTCTGTCTTTTTTCTCAACATACAACTTTGCATTGATGTCTTGTAATCGGTATACCGTTGTGGAATAGTTGGTTTGACAGCATACACGATACTCATTTTGGCTAAAGTCGATGATGGCATTCAAAATCTCTTTTATTTCTTATTTTGGATGTAAAGACCGCATTGATGCTTCTACCAGGGCAATCGTGTGCAATGAAAACCACGCTAATCGAAGTCCCTTAGAGACTTCAAATCTCCCACTTTTCATAGAAATGCTTCAATCTGTTATAAAGTGGTACAGATTACTTAAAAACAAATTAGGAATCTTAGAGATGTTATAACTGGTAGTTATAAAAAGTTTTCCCTCCATCGAATTATTCCCATCCATCTCAAATCGGCTATCCAGTGTCGTACTGTTTTACTGCTATTTGCTTTTAATTTTGTAGCAACTTAAACTAATATGATTCTGTCTAAAGTCCTGCGTCACTGTCTTGATCTGACAGTAGCAAACACTCAGATATTTTACTGGTAGCTATTAAGTATCAGGTAAATCTTTTTTATTCATTCTGAAATGTCATCAACAACCAGTCCATATTTTATTCCTTGTTCATATATATATATATCATGGTGTAATAGTGGATTTATTAGAGTTCGCTGGAAGTTTTACAACTACAAATAGCGTACTTCACTGTGTGTTTGTGTTTCAGTGATCTTCGTTTGACTCCCGACTGACTGAAACCTAAATCTCGCCTAGCAGGTAGTAAGCTCGTTACAGACAAGTACCTTCACCTCTTAAAAAAGAAATAACATAACGGTTATGGAGAATCAAAAAAGAGCTCAAAGCCATATATTTTACTAGGAGTAAAAGCCAGTTAGTTTGTTTATTAGATGTATCACACAGTGAAACACCTAATAAACAAACCATTATGAAATTACTTACTACCATAGTGCCCAAGTCTTACACATATATTAATAAGGAATATAAGCAATGAGGCAAAAAGAATGCACTGGTTGTTGACCGTGTCGCCCAATGCATACAAAAGATTAATCTGACGCTTGTTAGCTTGTGTCGTCTGTGCCACTGTGGTGAGAGCAGGCTGCTAGCCAATTGGTAGACATTAACTTACGTCAATGTCTAGGTCACTAATATTGGCCGTGAGAAAATATGAACAAAGCTAATTCAACAACCAATCACAGCAGACTTAACGTGGGAAAATACGATTCACAGATATATGGGGCTTAACTTTCCGAGAAACCAGAAACAACCAATCAGAAGACTGTGTTTGTCTGCTTGAGTAAGCTATAATAATGTACATGGAATATATATAAATACGTGCTGATTTCCGTAATAAAACGATCTGTTTCCGGCCCTTGTCTTCTGTTGTTACACCACTACTGCAATACACGACTGTTTACTAGTGTCAGTTAAAGAGGTCGACGTATTGACGTAATGGGACATCAATCGGTCATCAGCACATGACAAAAAATCGTCGAATTTTTAAAGTTATGATAGCGTTTAGTGTAAAAATACTTATTTTGAAAGCGTAGAAATAGTTTTACTATAATTTAACTAACTTCATCTTATATTTTCTGTTTTTTAGGAAATGTCTCACTAAAAAAGAGTTTTGTTGGTTTATATAGATATCGTATATGTACACCAACATAACTAATTTATTTCGCTACACATGTTGTTGTTGCGTCTTTGTTCACGATTACCGAGTTTCCACTGTGTCCGATTTCTAAATAATACAACTGAAATCTCCAAAAGAATTGATCGTTTCAATGGAATTCATTTGAATATTATTTCCTACGAGAATAATGACTCCAATAATATCATTCGTTCGTGTTTGTTCGTGTTAATTTCTACATATCCCTACAAAATTTATCTTCTTTAGAATATATCAGTGATATAATCAAAGATCCTGTGGGTTTTAAAGCGATATGGGTAACTTTGAAATCAGAACACTGTGAACTTGTGCCTACTCTGTGTAAACCATGCCCACTTGGTTTGGGTTTAAAATTTCACCATGCTTGTGATTCAGAAGCTACTCTAGTTCGTTGGTTGGGTGAAGGTGAAAGTCGGCTGCCTAATTATGCTTCACATCAAGTAGGAGTAGCTGGTAAGTTCACTCACCTTCTTTGAGTAGAAATTGCACTATCATTTTCAGTAAATATCTTGGCGAAACTATATCTAAAACAATTTGTTATGACTATATTACACAATCCCGGCCGATAACTGCTACCTTGTCGTGGTGGTTGGGCTTGAATACCGTAATGACCCAACATGCTAAACTGACTGGGACTCTGTCCCTGCAGGTCCTACCATGTCAGGAAGGTTGTTTGGATAGCGGTTAAACTAAAGCAGTTACCACCATGGGGTATATGGGCTCCAGTATCCAATCGGATCAAATGGCGTATGAACCCATATGGGTCACCGGAAACCATGGGAATGCAGCTCGTGACGCTGCTCCGCTGCCTTGCGGATTAGACTCCAAGTCAAAGGCTCGGGGGGCGGTCCTTTAATAAAACCACCTGCTTCGGTCTGGCGCCCGGGCAGTATCTCAGCCCTCACACAATGAATTGAATGAAGCAACAAACAAACAAGGAAACTTATCGCTTGCTATTACACGTGTTGCAATTTCTTTCTTTCTACCCTTCCCGATGATAGTTAACGAATACCGTTTGAACTTGTTAGGCATGACTGTTTTCTTCCAGATGGAGTTCTTTATCCGTTCTCTACTTATAAATATATTTTTTCTCTCCTTTCTTTTTTTTGATCTATGTTGTTTTATTATTATTGTGTGGCGCATCCTTCTTGGTGCCATATCGTACCAAGTTTATATGCGTTTAAATAAATAAATATATTACACAATGATAAGTTTTTTTATTTTGGTAATATTTCGAGCAAACTTATTACTTGTGATGACACCAGTAATTGATCAGCCAGTATCTTCTACCTAGATGTGGTAGTCAGGCTTGCCTATCACAGTGATCCGATGAGCTATACTGGTTCGAAGTGATTTTCCTGAAGATCATGCCATATCGAAAAGGTTATTTAGGCTGAAAGGAGCTGGCAAATAAGGATGTAAAAACAGTAAGGCGTTTCCTCTAGATGACTACTAAGCCAGTTATTCTGCCTCAGCTCTAAGAAGGAGGGATAAATAAAGGTCGACCCTGAAATTTGTACATCCCAACTTAACTTGCTGCGGTTTTTGGCAGACGGCAAGATCTTTATAAGGACACAAAACACTTCAAACAGCTCTGTGTGATTAGTCCCAAGCAGGTGTCCCCTGGGCTCTGCAGTCACACAACAGTGATGCTCCTACTGTTTCAGGTACTCTAAGAAGAAATCGAATGTCCACAGACTTTCATAAGCACACAAAGCTTTCCTCATAATTACGCATCTTTTTCATTTTATTTTTATATCTGGTATTATTTTAGTAGTTATATTTTACTCTCCTTATTAACGAAGTGTCATGCAGCTACATCTGAATTTAGATTCCTAACCCTAGGTCATTAGTTATATGTATTGAGCAGGTGATTTGTTTTTGATCTCAATGTAAACTAACTGACTGATTGACTGAGTTTCAATGTAGAACTTTGCACAGAAGTTTACCAGTTCAGTTTGCCGCACTTCAGTTTTTCTCCTTCACGTCCCCATTGGAACATAGGGCTTCAAGCTAGAGGCTTGAAGTTTCTGTAGCAGTGTTTATTTTTACAGGATGGGGTTACCAGCCTCATGCCCAACTTTTCCTCTTCACCAGCATTATTTCTGGCTTAGCGAGGTAATGGACTGCGTCGGCTGGGGACCGAACTCCGGACTATATGCATGGTTGGCGAGCATCCTAACCGCTGTGCCACACTCCATACATCACATAAATGTAGAGGAATAGGGGAAATCCAAAATAACCACCTTGATCAGCTTACTGTGTTTTAGGATTGCTACATGAACTCACACAGCTTTAGTTTGATGTTATGCAGATCACTTCTCATCATAAATGAGGAAGTATTATTGTAGTGACTTGTATATTGCTTCAGGTAGAACAGCTCAGAAAACACATGATGAACTGTCGAATACCATTTTATTAAAAGATCCTTTACAAAGAGTAGATATCTTGCAGTTTATATTCACTGAAACTTCTGTACTGTTTTAATATACTGTCTAGAATGAAGTTATTATTATGTTGTTTTCAAATACACTACTTAGTGGTAGTAAGTAGTGTAAACCGTAGGAGGCAAATTGAATCCCTCGAAACTTTTAATGATGCATCGGTTGTTCAGCGATTGAATATGTTCACCATTCATCCTCGTGGTCCAAGTTTGATTCCCAGCTGAAGTACTTCTAGATCTCATTTTGTTTACTACCCAGCAGTGAGCTTGGAAAATAGGTAAGACTGGGCGTGGGGATAGCAACCTCACTCAGCAATAAAACGACGCAGCATCACTGCTACTAAAACTTCTGAGCGTTAAGCCCTACATTCCACTTGCAGCGCAAAGGAATAAAAGAAAATTAGTGGATGAATGAAGAAGAGCTAATTATTCCATTGCGAAACATATTATAGATATAGGGCATAATGTTGATGCGTATCCTAAACCTATCTGTCAAATATGTTGAACATGTATCCTAGAGTTTATGGAAACTCTAGCAATAAGGAAGTTTAAACCACTTTTATGTGTTCAAAGATAATTTTGTCATTACATTAAATCTCCTCAGGTATATTTCATTTTGATATCACACTGTTTTGGTCTATTGATCTGCACTGCTGTGTTGATCTTAAATATATCCCTTTAAAACTTGACCTAGATCCATTGTTTCACGTCTTAATACTTTATTAATTTCATATAAATTCGTATGGAATACTTTTTTTTGTAGACAATGTCCCTCAAATTATTAGCAGAAATTTATGAAATGAAATGACCACGATTGGTGGTGGAAGGTGACTAGCGGTGGAATCCAAGATGCGCACCTCGTCCTATTTTTGGGACTCGTCAGATAACAGGATGTACCCGTATTCCCCAGTGAGTCAGTGATGGTGTATCCACCGAGGCTCGAACCCAGTCAGTGTCCATAGTTTCAAACGCCAAAGCGTTGTTCATTTGGGCCACGATGGCCACATCTTGTGCAATTCAGTTTATTCACCACCCACCAAATGACTTAATTATTTATTATTATTATTTCCTTCAATTCCTAGGGGAATATAGGGCTTCAGTCGCGCGTCTCCATTGCGTTCTCCATTGCTCTGCTAAAGTTTTCACCTGGCTCCAAGTCTGCCTACATGCTTTCATCTCCTTTTCACATGACCTCCTTCAGGTCACCATTGGGCGACCAACTCGCCGCTTCCCTTCCGGGTTCCACTTGAGTAATGGCTTTTCTAGTGATGTCACTTGATGGTTTCCTCAGAGTATGGCCAATCCATCTAACTCCATTTCTTCGTGCCTATTTGTTGCACAATCGGTTCCTGGTTGGTTCGCTCCCATAGATCTCTTACTATTGCTGATCTTTTCTGGCCATCTGATCTTGAGTACTGAGCGAAGATAACTGTTAATGAAGGTCTGTAGTTTATTTGAGGTGCTCTTTATGACGCGCAGTGCAAGTCTCTGATCCGTATAGTGAGTAGCACTGACTGACTTCACATTGGAGTTGAAAATCCGGATGTTACTTTTGATGCTGAGTGCTGTTGACCTCCTCCACACAGACTTTAGAGTAATGAAGGCTTGTCTTGCCTTTAAGGTACATTGTAACGGCAGAAGGCAAGACACGGAGGCCAATGTATATTTTTAAGTGATCTGACAGCTATTTTTATATCTATACAGCTTCTTTAATCAATCACTGAGCGTGTGATTTTGGTTTACATTTTTTTTCCTTCACGTTCCCACTGGAACATAGGGCCTCAAGTTAGTGGTTTGAAGTTTCTTTAGCAGTGTTTATTTTTACAGGATGGGGTTTCTAGCCTCATGCCTAACCTTTCCTCTTTACCAGGATTATTTCAGGCTTAGCGAGGTAAAGGAGTGCGTCGGTGGCCGGGAATCGAACCCCGGACCATGTGCATGGTCCACGAGCGTCCTAACCGCTATACCACCGATGCACATTAAACGACATGAGATAGAATGTTCAAATATACATAGCATTCTGTTGTTAATTCAGTATTGAACTGTAGGAATAGTACACAGACGTTAACACCAACAAATACAATGATTCTTACTGTGAGAATTGTATTCCGTTGGAACTCGTTGTCTGTATCACATCACCACAACATGACCATACATTGTCGAAGCATTTGCATAAGTAGCTGACATGTCAACCTGAGACAGGAGCAATCAATCGACAGGGGAGAAAAAAATCTAAATTGAATGGAATGTATAAATGCCATAACTGTGATGCCGTTTTGCATGTTTTATACATTTCAGCTTAATGCACAGAATTAATTTTATCAGTTTTAAATCAATAGAATCACATTTTGTTTTTCTAAAATTTCTATTTTTAGGTGTATTAACCAATTCAGATAATTCTGAAGTTTTAATGGTTCGTGAAAAAGGTGGTTCTTTAGTAAGTGTTCGCTTTATGTGAATTTCAGTGATTTTTTTTTCCTGTCTGTTTAGTTCACTGGTTGGAAATTTCCTACTGGCCTGTTGAATCCAGGCGAGAATATTGGTAAGTTATCAGTTTGTGTGAATAACATTCATCCCATTTTATATTTATGCCATCAAGTGCGTCGGTGGCTTAGCGGTTAGGACGCTCGCTGACTGTGCACATGGTCCGGGGTTTGATCCCCGGCCACCGACGCAATCTTTTACCTCTCTGAGCCAGAAATAATCCTGGTAAAGAGGAAAGGTTGGGCATGAGGCTGGTTAGCAACCCCATCCTGTAAAATAAACACTGCTACAGTAACTTCAAGCCACTACCTTGAAGGTGCCCTATGTTCCACTGGGGAACGTGAAGGAGAAAAAAAGTTAAGTAAACAGACATGTTGGATGACTGGACTAACTGAATGGTTTCAGCATATAACACTGCATAGATGTGCACCACTTCGAGTTGCCACACACCCTCCATGTAGCACATGAAGCAAGAGAAAAGAGTAAAGAGAGATTCAACAGAAGAGAGAGAGAGATAATAAACAGAAGTGTGAGTGACGGAAAAAGAATGGCAATATGGAAGAACAACAATAGATGAGTTTTACTGGATATGACTGGTAAATCACAAAGAGTGAATGCATCTGCGCCAGCCACTGACAACAAAGATTTTGAGCCAGCCATATCACCAATTGTCTGCAGCCTGTATCACTTCTTACCATCCTGAGGACCCCAGCCGGTCAGCTAGACAGTCCACATCTCCCTAAGTGGCTGGCTGACTGGTTGGTTTAAACTAGCTGTTATGGATTTCACTGACTGATGAAGCCATGTCTTGGTTTGACCACCACTGGCTCTTTTCGAACCTGATCCATCATATATCGGTTAAAATCGCCTGTTGTCGAAGAAGGCGATGGCTGAGTAACTTCATTATAGATAAAACTTTATTTTGATAAATCACATAGTGTTGTACACAAATTATTGCCACTCATAATCATATCAAGACACTACTCACACAACTTTTTGCTTCATTTATATACATGAGTGGAATTGATGATTAGACATTTGATTGAATAAAATCACTATAAGATAATGTACATTCAGAAATAATAATACGAGTGTTATCAATCAAATACAATGAAATGTGAAATAAGACGAGTCAAAATAAGTAACATGTTATAATGTATGTGAATCGAAGTAGAATTTTAAGATTATTTATTATCCTCCTCTGATTTGACTGGTAGTAATAATACCTTACCTATTTCTGGTATTTGCATTGAGTCATTTCTGCTGCATGTGTTGGGAGTAGACTCGATGAACCAGCCAAGATTCAGTAATCAATCTCTCTTGCACTCCACCTACATAGATTACTTCTTAGAATCTTAACCCTCTCCCACCCTATTGTGTGGTTGTGTGTTAATGCATGCATGCAGTGCAATGTAGTGCTGAGCTTTTCTCTAAATTACTCATCTTCTCGGAGTCAACCATTCTTACCTTAGCTAAATTCTTATCTTCCGACAATCTGATTACCCCGACCTACTAGTTTAACCTATGTATTTGATTTAACTCACAGTCATTGCTAGGTATTTTGTAAATTATATTATTTTGTTTAATTGTGTCCACCGGGTCTTTTAGCCTACCTTGATATGATTATGAGTGGCAATAGTTTGTGCTTAAAAGGTGGTCATCAGTAAATATAACTTCACTGTGTGTGTGACAGTTTATCAAAATAAAATCTTATCCATAATGGAGTTATACTCTACAACAGTGCCTAGGTTTTATACCTATATCGATGGCGAAGAATGCCTGCTTAACTAACACATGTTCTAACTGTCTTAGTCGATGTAACTTCACATCCCCGTCGATTGACTTTTTTTCCTTACCTAATACTCGACACCTTCGGATTTTCAATACAAACGTAAAGTCAGTTCTTCTATACGGATCAGAAACTTGGCGGGCCACAAAGAATATTTCCAACAGCCTGTTGCAGACCTTTATTAACAGCAGTCTTCGCTCAATACTGAAGATCAGATGGCCGGAAAGAATCACCAACAAGGAATTATGGGAACAAACAAAGCAAGAACCAATCGCCCAACAAATATGCAGGAGAAAGTGGAGATGGATCGGACACTCACTCGCTGAGGAGACCGCTGGGTGACATCGCGCGCCAAGCCCTCGAGTGGAACCAGGCCGAAAGGGAAGCGGCGTGTGGGACGTCAGTGCAAGGGTGACATGGAGGAGATCGTGTGAAAAGTTGAGGAGTTGAAAGAATATGGATTAACATGGATGCAGGCGAAAAGTATAGCAGAAGACAGAAGAAAATGGAGACGTGCAGTTGAAGCCCTATGTTCCACTAGGAACCCAAGGGAGCAATAATAAAATAAATAATAAATACTCGACACCTAACCACTTCAATATTACTAACCCCATTATACAACTTCATACGGGAGATAGAACGCAGATAACCGTTATCAAAGACAGCTAGCAATAAAGGAGGACAGAGAGAACTGCAACTGAGCAGTACACTCATTCTTTCATCGATAGCCAGCCGGGTATCACGTCTACTAACTAAGGCAGAGATGGTGTAATTTGGCAGGTAAATGCTAAACGAACCTTCTGTATCCTCACTGAGATTTCGTCAGCGATCAACCCTCTGAGCTGGCTGATACAACTTTTCCAAATAAATGAAGTGGTCAACACTCTCCATCAACCACATCACTCCCCTCTGTCTTTCAGCTAGAAGTCGATGTTGGATACTTAATTATCATGGTACCAAACTCAGTTTTAATGTGAGTTACTAGATGTACATATGACGTCCACTTTCTTTTGTAAAGAGTATAATTTACTTATCAAGTGAAAAGTTCCGTCTACCACGTTATTTATTATTAAATCACAACCTCGATACATTACAGACACCAAAAGTTTTTTTTTTTAACGCGGGATGGGATATTTCCTGGACTCCAAGACCTAGTCTTTGACTTGAAGTCTGGCCCACAAAGAAGTGGAGCAGCTTCAATAACTTCGTCCTCACGACTGAAAGATTCATACGCCATTCGATCGATCCTTTCGGATTCTAGACACCATAGGTTTGGAATCACAGTTTTCCAACTCGTCTAGATGAATCTGCACCCCCCCCCTCCCCTACAAGTCCGATTATAATCACTATACGTTCACTTTGATCCTTTCACTATTGTAAGGGAGGCAATGAATACGATTTTGCATGACAGAGATTAAGAACATGTGATCACATGAGAGAAACATTTCCAAAGGAAGGCTAAAGTCTACCCATCCTGTGAGTCGTACCATGTCGTTAGTAGGGGTACATCAAGTTAAGAAGACTATGAGAGATAGGTAGATAGATGAAAGTAGAGGTGAGAACATAGTTGTTTTAATTCAACATACCACATATCGTAAATACACATACACACACACACACATCACGAAGCTTTTACCCATTGGATGGATTGGCTGACTGACTCATTTTTTTTACAACGTAACAGTTTGCACAAAAGCTCACTTTTTGAAGTTGCCACACGAAGGAAGAGACAAATATTCAAAGGAGTTGAGATGAACAGAAAATGTACTGAATAAAAATATAAATTACATGGAGAAACATGGGGACTTAGCGGATCTCAGAGATTACAAAGAATGAATTCATCTGAGCCACAATGAATGGTTTTCAGCCAACAGTCCTGAACTATGGATTCTTAGTGTTTTAACGACCCAAACCAGACCTTCTATTTCGCCCTACTCGACTGACTCAAAGTAACAGTCAAATATTTCATGGATTAATTCCATCTTTTAGGTTTTACCATCGGTAACAACTCTTTCCCAACCTATTCCAACGTCAACTAACTATACTGGACGAACATGTCAGTGGCTTGGCACACGTGAGTCATAGATTCTGAATCGAGCCACCCTGACAAGATTGTCAAGTTAGCGTAAAGTAGTTACCCAGAGGGATTTGGTCCCCATTGATTTCCTATCTAGTTTTCATTTTGGATTGTTGACATTAGATGGTTGAAGGCAAACGGCAGGAAGAGCTGCCTGACCTTGATTTCGTGCTAGTTGGTACTCGTCAGCAAGGCGTATTTGCAACCTTCAGGGAACTCAAGTCCCTTTGGAAATTCTAACCTGTGTCACTCAGTGAGTACTGAAGTCAGAGATGACGTTACCACTGAGCTATTCGGGCTGGCTTGCGATTGACATCCTGTAGGACTGTATTGGACACTTTGATTGGACACTTACTGGGGTCTGTAGCACTGGGTGACATGGGTGTGAATTTTGATGCAGTTGCGTTCTCTGATACGAAGACGAAGGGGACGTCCACTTTGGCCAATGTTGTGTTTCTCGCAATTGTTACAATTTATTTTGTAGATGATACTGGTTTTATCTTCTTTCGTTGTTGAGTCCTTTGGCTGCCATACAACTGAGTGAAGTGACTTTGTTGGTTTGTGTGCGACGTCAACTCCTAAAGTCTTGAAGAGTCTTGCAGTGATTTCTGAGATGTCCCTCATATACGGTAGGGCGATTTTCTTGGTGCTCTTCTTGGGGGCCTTTGATTTGACAGGTTGGCTTGGGGGGGTATATGTCTTTTGATGAAATTCCGTGGATATCTATCCATTCTTTTGGAAGACATCCAGGGAGACACATGAGTTCCTTCAAAATTGCAGATACGCCTTGTTGACTGGAGAGTGTTAAAAAACAGGAAATCTAGATCAGAAGCGGCTTCCTGCCGATCGCATCTAACCATCTAATATCACTAATTCAAGGTGCAGCGTGATAGCGAGCCACCTAGTGGCATGGTGGCCATATTGCAAACTTGATTGACAATAGAATTTAATCTGTGCCAAACAAAGGGGACTAGACATACTACACTAATTACTGACTTGTGTTCAATCAAAGTATCTGGTTTCATTTGATGAGCCAAAAACTAAACACATGTTTACAAGCTTTTGTTGTTGTTGGAAATTGTGTACTATACGTTTTAGGCATTAGTAACAAACAGCTGAATTATTTAATATATGCGTAAAACGTGGGCACTGTGGTAGTAAGTAATTCCATATTAGTTTGTTTATTAGATATATCACACAGTAAAGAAACAGTATTGCTATTTACTGGATGACAAAGTTTCAAACACAATTTATCACTGTTCATAATCATATCATCAAATGTAACTACAAAATTTCGAAACTTGCGTTTTATAGTTTCCTTTATTCTTTCTTATTCGTTGTAGGGGTAGTAGAATTTTCCAGACATCTGGAACAGGTGTTGAATTATTCCTGTTGCACATATTTGCAGTTGATTCGATAAACAAAGCTTCTGTTATGAATCACTCTCCCTCCACCCTGCTGTTATATTAGATTTTAAAGCTGTCATCCTATCCCATCCTATGTGTGTAACTGCATATAGTGCTATAGTTGAACTATTCTCTAGATTTCTTATCTTATTCTGGTAAACTAATCTAGATTTTGCTAGGTTTTTATGCTCGGCTAGTCTGACTGCCCCTGTTCTACTGCTTTGACCCATGTATTTGACCTGACAATCATTGCAGGCAGGGTATTAGATAAATTAAATTATTTTGTTTAATTGTCTCCACGGGCGGGATTCTTTAACCGAAAAATCTTGTTTCTAATTGAGTTTGTGGGTAGTTTAAATGCCAGACAGTTTTCTTATTCATGCCTTGTTAAGAATTCTCCATGGGGTGGTTTCCGAGGTTCCTTCCTTGTGTGGAATTACTACTGATAATTTGAATTCCCTATTGTTGGTGTTCTCATTATCCTGTGCATGTTTGACATGTGGAAGACTGAGAGTGGAAGACATGAAAAGAATGGCTAGCTGTCTTTGATCATAGGTGCCTGCGTTCTATCTCCCGTGTGAAGTGGCATAATAAGGTGAGCAATATTGAGGTTAGGCGTCGAGTTCTAGGTAAAAAGGGGAAATCAATCGACGTGGTTGTGAAGTTACATAGACTGAGATGGTTAGTCATCGCCTTCCTCGACAATGGGCAATGTTAGCTGACATAGGGTCAGGCTGGGAAAGAGCCAGCTAACAGCGGTCAAACCAAAACATGGCTTCACCAGTCAATGAAATCTACAACAGTTAGTTTAAGCCAGCCACATAGGAAGGTGTAGACGTCCTGGTTGGGGTCCTCGGGACGGTAAAAATCAATAGTTGGAAACAATTGGTGACATGGCTCAAAATCGTTCTCAGTGGCTGGTGGAGATGCATCCACTCCTTGTGACTTATGATTTCCAATGAAACTGTTTTGTTCTTCGTTATTACTCTTCCTTTGTCTCACATCTCTGTTTACTGTCTCTATTATGCTTTTCTTGTACTTTCTTCTGTTGCCTTTGTGTGCTACATGGAGGGAGTGTGGCGACTTGAACTTCCACACATATGTGCAAAGTTCTATGTCGAAAACAGACAGACATGTCGTCATTAATATTATTATTGCTATTATCACCATCACTACTATCATTATTTATTTTATTTTTACATTTCCCTACATACTTTCTGATTAATTTATCAGGGTAATTATTAAGTTTCAAACCTTCTCTTGTATACCTCACTTCCTGTCTTAGATTTTCCTCGGTACTGCTTAGTTTTTGTGCTCTGTTACTTAAACATTTCACCAATCCTATTTTCACTGACATAGGATGGGATGATCGGAAACGTCATCCAGTAAATAATACTGTTTCACTGTGTGTGTGATATATCTAGTAAACAAACTTATATGGAACTGAATTATTTACTTGTCAACATTTTCACTACTGATTGTCATTAAGAATTCTGGAGGGTTAATTACTCATCAAAATTGATACATTGCAATTTACTGCTTAGCGTCAATCAGATGTGTTGAACGCATATTTTACAAATAGTACAAGATATAACGGTTGTTACTCACTGCTCAAATTGTCTATTTTAATTAGAGTTTTATTGTTTTGTAAGCCCTAGGCGTAGGCGTTTGAATTATCTTGATTGCGTTTTCTAGCGGCAATATTATCATGGACGGATAACTTCGGATCATTTACTCATAGGATGACTAGGCGGGACAGTAAGACATAATCTCTCTGAGCTGCATTAATGTTACTTCATTTTGTTCTTGCAAATGTGACTGGTTCAAATCTTGCCTAGAGTCTGACTTTTGTGTTGCATCATCAGTCGTCATCCCATTATCATTATTATTCCCTTCGGTTCCTGGTGGGGAACATAAGGCTTGAGAGGCACATTGTTACTTCGCCCTGTTCTGTTCAAGCTCTCCTAGCTGGCTCCACGATAACCTATAAGGTTTCGTCTTCTGCTAACTCCATCTCCTCTATATCACCGTCAGGGACGCTCCCAACTCTTCTTTTTCTAATAGATGACTGACTGACTTATTGCTTTCAGCATAGAACTTTGCACAGATGTGCACCAGTTCGAGTCGTCACACTTCACTTAGCACCTAAAGCAAGAGAAGAAAGTAAGAAGAAATGCAAAGCAGAGACATTCAAGAGAGATATGAGACAAAAGACAAACAAAAATATCGAAGAACAATATGGTTTTATTGGGTATTATAAGTCACAAGGAGTGGATGCATCTGCACCAGCCATTCGGAACAATCACTTCGAGCCATATCACCGATTTTCTCCAGGCGTCATTGGTTGTTACCATCATCCCGAGGACCCCAACCAACCAGGAAGTCTACACCTTCCTACCTGCCTGATTTAAACTAACTGTTGTGAATTTCATTGACTGATGAAGCCATGTTTTGGTTTGAACACCACTAGCTTTCTCTTTTCGAACCTGATTCTATGTCAGTCAGCTAACATAGCCTGTTGTCAAGGAAGACGATCGACGGCTAGGGATGCGTGTGTAACACATGTTCTGACCATCTCAGTCTATGTAACTCCACATCCTCGTCGATTGATTTCCTCTCCTTACCTACCACTTGACGCCTCACCTCAATATTAGTCACGGTATTATACCACTTCACACGGGAGGTAGAAAGCAGGTAGCTGTAGCCAAAGACAGCTAACTAGGCTTTTCATGTCTTCTACATTTAAAGGCCAGGTCTCAGAGCCATAAAGGAGGATGGAGCAAACTTCTGAGCAGTACACACGCCCTTTGGTCGATAACCAGTCGGATATCACGTCTATTTAGCCAGAGATGGCGTAAACTGACATACGCCAAACGAGCCTTCTCTATCCGTGCTGAGATTTCGTCAGCGATCAAAGCACTGGACTGGCTGATGCAACTTCCCAAATAAATGAAGTAGTCAACACGCTCCACTAACCATTTCAAACCATTTCGTCAACGCTGTCGAAGGCCTTCTCAAAGTCTACCTCTAGTTGAGGTAGAGGTTTGATCGCCATTCCATGCTTTGTTCTGTGATGATGATACGTAGAGTTGCATTATGCGTCGGTGGCACAGTGGTTAGGACTCTCGCCGACCATGCACATGGTCCGGGGTTCGAGCCCGCACCGACGCACATCTGATATCTATGGTCGGCCTGCAAAATTTGGGCTACCGATATCCATGCTGAAAATTCCATACTTGTACCGAAAATACAGTGTGGAATCAAGCTGTAAATCAAAAAAAAATAAAATAAAAAATATTTCTAAGCGAGGAGTAGTCGACGTACTCTAGCCCTGTAGTATCATCTTACATTTGACGAGGTGAGTGAATCGCATAGCAAATATTCGCAGATTACAGCTCAAGGTGTTCAGAAGACTCTGTATTTTCCCATGTGATATACGTTGTCACTCGGTGGTTTTATCAACGTGTATCCAATGCGTTTCCATTTCCTTCTGTATATTCGTTGGTTGATAGGTTCTTGATTGGTTAGCTGGATATTTTACCAAACGCGTTTCTATTAATCTTCTTTTTATTGCCATACAGCTGAAGCAGCAATGAGAGAAGTTTATGAAGAATGTGGAATTCATACAAATTTTAGTGGAGTTATCTCTTTCAGGCAACAACATGATTTTCCTGGTTCATTTGGTATATCAGATTTATTGTTTACTTGTCGACTTCAACTGCCCAGTGGTGTATCAGTACCTACAATCAAAAGTTGCTCTTATGTAAGTGTTCATTCATTCAATTGAATTATTGTTATTTTCTTTAATTCCTAGAAGAACATAGGGCTTCAGCCGCACGTCTCCATTGCGTTTGGTTCTCTGCCAACGTTTTCACCTGGCTCCAAGTCTGCTCACATGCTTTCATCTCCTCTTCACATGACCTCCTCCAAATCACCCTCACACTGACGACCAACTCCCTTTCGGGTTCCACTCGAGCGATGGCTTGTCTAGTGATGTCACTTGATGGTTTCCCCAGAGTATGGCCAGCAAATCCACCTCCGTTTCTTCTTGCTTATTTGTTGCACGATCGGTTCCTGTTGGTTTGGTTCGCTCACTGCCAGAGATCCCTGTTGCTGATCTTTTCTGGTCAGCCATCTAATGTTGAATAGTATTGAGCGGAGACAGCTAGCTGTTGGTGAAGGTGTGTAGTTTGTTTGAGGTGCTCCTCATGACGTGCCAAGTCTATGATCCGTACAGTAAGTAGCACTGACTGGCTTCACATTGGAGTTGAAAATCCGGATCTTATTTTCATTTTCATGCTGAGTGCTGTTTACCTCCACACAGACTGGAGAGAAATGAAAGCTTGTCTTGCTTTTCCGATTCTTGTTTTGATATCCTTATCAGTAGGTACAGAATAGAAGTGTTGGGAATCAGCGAGAGCAGATGGAACGGAACTGGAAGGTGCCAACTACCTACTGGAGAGACAGTAATCTATTCCGGCCACCTAGAGGACAACCATGAGCACACCGAGGGAGTGGCCATCATGATGTCACCAACAGCAACCAAAGCTCTCATGCGGTGGGAACCAGTCTCCTCCAGGATAATGACAGCCACGTTTAACTCAAAAGGAAGGAAAGTTACAATCATTCAATGTTATGCGCCTACAAACGTCTCAGAACAGGAGAAGAAGGAGGCGTTCTACAGACAACTACAAGCAATAATGGACAACGTCCCAAATGGCGATATCAAAATCCTGATGGGCGACATGAATGCGAAGCTGGGACGAGACAACACAGGAAGAGAACTCACCATGGGTCGTGAGGCCCTCGGTGAAATGAACGACAATGGTGAACTCTTCTCAGACTTCTGCGCCTTCAATGATTTGGTGATTGGCGGTAGTGTGTTCAAACACAAGGATATACACAAGACGACATGGATTTCACCAGATGGAAACACCAAGAACCAAATAGACTTCATTTCAATTTCAAGGAGGTGGAGACGGAGCCTACTGGACACAAGGTCAAGGAGAGGAGCAGATGTGGGTTCAGACCACTATCTAGTACAAGGGACTTTCAAGGTGAGACTAAAAGCCTCGAGGATAGCTGGGGATAGGCCTCAATGCAAGTTCAACACTCAATTACTGAAGGACACAACCACAAAAGACACTTTCACTGCAACTTTCAGGGCAAAGCAGGAAACACTACGCGACAGCACTGAAGAATCATGCGTGGAAGACCATTGGAAGTCTCTGAAGGCGATTCTCAACGAAACGTGTTCAACGGTTCTAGGAAGAAAGAAGAGACAAGACAAGGAATGGCTCTCAACGGACACTTGGAAATTAATAGAAGAGAGGAGAATGGTGAAAGAGAAAATGATTCAATTCAAGGACGGACAGGAGAAGGAGACGATGAGCTCAACTTACAAAGCATTGGACAAAGAAGTGAAGAAAAGTGCTAGGAAGGACAAAAGACGATTCTACGACAATCTAGCTACTGAAGCTGAAAAGGCAGCAGGCAAAAGGGACCTGAGGACACTATATCAGATAACCAAATCTCTATCCGGGAAGAGACCAACACAAGCGAAACCTATAAAAGGCAGCCAAGGGAAGCCCAATACCAAGGAAGAAAAACAGATTAAACAATGGGCGGACCACTTCAAAGGACTCTTAAACAGACCACCACCTGCAACCCGTCCAGAAATACCAACAACAGCATGCACACAACTGCAAGTTGACACCAATCCTCCAACTAGAGCTGAAGTCTTGAACGCAATCAAACTTCTGAAAGCTGGGAAAACAGCCGGACCAGATGGAATACCCCCTGAAGCACTGAAAGCAGACCCAGAGACGACAGCAGACATGCTGACTCCATTATTGCAAAAGGTCTGGAAGGAGGGAAAGGTGCTCACTGACTGGAAGAAAGGTTACCTCGTGAAACTACCAAAGGAGGGCGACTTACGCCTCACTCTACAAGAACTGGCGAGGAATCATGCTCCTGTCGACGCCAAGTGAAATCCTGAATCGCATCATCCTGGAGAGATTAAAGGACGCACTGGAGACAGAACTCCGACCAGAACAAGCTGGATTCAGGAAAGGCAAATCATGTACTGACCAAATTGCACCTCTACGCATCATCATCACAGAACAAAGCATGGAATGGCAATCAAACCTCTGTCTGTCTGTCTGTTTTCGACATAGAACTTTGCACAAATGTGCGGAAGTTCAAGTCGCCACATTCCGTGTAGCACGCGAAGCAAGAGAAGAAAGTACAAGAAAAGCAAATAGAAACAGTGAGCAGAGGTGTGAGACAAAGGAGTAATAAAGAAATACAAAACAGTTTCATTGGAGATCATAAGTCACAGGGAGTGGATGCATCTGCGCCACTGAGAACGATTTTGAGCCATGTCACCAATTGTTTCCAACCATAGATTTTTACCGTCCCGAGGACCCCAGCCTGGAAGTCTACACCTTCCTACGTGGCTTAGACCAACTGTTGTGGATTTCATTGACTGATGCCAAGTTTTTGTTTGACCGCCGCTAGCTTTTTTCCAGCCTGACCCTATATCCGCTAACATTGCTCGTCGAGGGAGGCGATGGCTTGGCATACGTAACACATGTCCTAACCATCTCAGTCTTTGTAGCTTCACGACTTCGTCGATTGATTTCCCCTGTTTACCTAGAACTCTACGCCTAACCTCCATGTTGCTCACCTTATTATGCCACTTTACACGGGAAATAGAACGCAGGCACCTATGATCAAAGACAGCTAGTCTTTTCATGTCTTCCACTCTCAGTGGCCAGGTCTCACAACCATAAAGGAGGACGGAGCGGACTGATGAGCAGTACACCCGCCCTTTGGTCGATAGTCGAACATCTCGTCTACGCCAGAGTCGGCGTAAACTAACAAATGCGAAACGAGCCCCTTGTATTCGTGCTGAGATTTCGTCAGAGATCAGCCCGTTGGGGCTGATGGTACTTCCCAAATAAGTGAAGCGGTCAACGTGCTCTACCACTTCACTTCCTATTTTTAAACTAGGCGTCGATGTAGTCCAGTCCTGTAACATCATCTTGCATTTGGCGGGAGCGAATCGCATGCCAAACATTCGTAGATTGCGGTTCAAGGTGTTTAGAAGACTCTGCATTTCGTCAGCGTCTTCGCCTAGAAGGACTATATCGTCTGCATATTCCAAGTCAACGAGATTATTCCCAGGTAGCAAGTCAATCCCTGAGTCGCTGAAGTCACCTAGGGTTAAGTCCATTAACACATCTATGATGAAGTTGAATAGAAAAGGAGATAATGGGCATCCTTGACGGACACCACTGGTCGTCATCAGTTCAGATGACAGCTCGCCGTAAGCCCTCACCTGGCTGTATGAGTACGAATAGAGTGCCTTAATCAGTGCAATATATTTTCTCGGAATTCCCTTTACAGCCAAGCATCTCCAGAGAACTTCCCGATCGACAGAGTCGAATGCTGCCTTTAGGTCAAGAAATATAATGACTGTTGGACGCCGGTAGGAATGCCTATGTTCTAGAATCTGTCGGAGGGTGAAGATATGATCAATACACCCTCTTCCTGGTCTAAAGCCTGCCTGGCTCTCTCGTGTTTGTGCTTCCCGAGCACCACTCAGTCTACGCATGATTATTGAGCCTAAGACTTTAGATACTATATTAGTCAAGCTAATCCCTCTGTGATTATCACAGGAAGACTTGTCTCCCTTCTTGTATATGGGGATAATCAGTGACTTACACCAACCCGATGGGACTTCTTCTGATTCCCAGACGCTGCCTAGTACCTCAGTTAATCCGGACAGTAAGCTGTCTCCACCGTACTTAAATACCTCTGGAGTCATTCCATCAGGTCCCGCTGCTTTGCCTAGTTTCAGATTGGTGACAGCTTTAGTAACCTCAGTTAGTGACGGAGGACCTGTATCTATATCCCATTCAGGGAGGTGTTGGATGCTCGGAAGGTTGAGCGTGGCTGTGGGCAAATTAAACTGCTCCTCATAATGCTCTTTCCAACGATCCAGTCGTCTATCCTGTGAGCTAATTATAGTGCCATTTTTTTCCGAGATTGTCTCACTAATGATTTGTCTTCTCCCACCCGTTTCCCTGATGAGTCCAAAGAGTTGCCTGGTGTTGCCTATCCTCGAAGCTTTCTCCATCTCTTTGGCTTTTGTCGCCCACCACTGTTCACGGTCCTTGCGGAGACTTTTCGTAAGTTTCCTCTTGTGCAGCTTTCGCTCCTCATTGAATTCGGAGCTCGCCGGAATAAGTCTTCTAGCATCTATCAGTTCGGATGAGGCGGTGGAGATCCAGTGGTTTTTACTCACCTTTGGGTTTACCTTATTCACAGCTTTTACAGCTGTATCTATGGCTGCCTGGATATTTTTCCAAGCTTCTTCAGGGTGAGCACAGCTGTCGAACACAGATATGTGTTTAGCTAGTTCTTCCTCAAATACGGATTTAGTTTCCTGATCGAGCTGGGGACGTGATGGTTTTACCGCCAGCTGTTTCCTACGTCCGTTCAGTCGTAAGCACACCCGAGCGCGGACCAGTGCATGGTCGGTATCTACGCACGTGTTCCAGAAGGAGCGACAATCTCCTACCGACCCACGCCAACGATAGCTTATTGCTATGTGGTCTATTTGTGTCCAGCGTTGGTTTGATGAAGGGGGTCTCCAAGTCAAACAGTGTCTCTCCTTGTGTTTGAAGTTAGTGCTTACAAGAAACAAATGATTATCAGAGCAGAACTGTAGGAGACGGTCACCGTTGTCGGTTCGCT